AAAACTGCTAGTTTTTGGCTTCAGAGCCAAGCCAATGGATGATCCACCATTAATATTACAGAGAAGAGTCTCACCTGTTGCATCTGCTGCTGGAGTCTCCTCCTCTGTGCTGGGTCTAGAATCAGAGCCTGATGAACTTTCTCACTCTGGGGCTTAACCCTCTCTACCTCCTGCTGCTGTTTGGCTGAAGATTTCTTCATCTTCGGCTGTTCAAGTAGCTCCTTCACTGTGCGATGCTGCTCATTTAGCAAGTTGGCCAGTGGTTCCTCAAACCTACCCCCAAAGGGAGATGACTGAATGTGAGTATTTCCCTAGGTCCACAACACATCCAATTCCTTCTAATGGTGGACTAAGAGAGTATGAATGATTTCCATCTACTCACTTGCCTAAATATGAACACGTTATCATAACCCCAAATCCATTCTTGCTCATGAATTCATTTTCCCACTGGAACCATTCTCAACCCATCAGTCAAACTAGAGGCACAGACTCATCTCTGATTCTTTGTTTTGCTCTTTCCCACATCTGACCCGGCACCAAGGTCTGACCACGCTTCTAGAGGAGCAGCTCTGGAACCTTCCACTTCTCTCCTCTGCCAGTGCCATTGCTCTAGTAGATCTCCCTGTTATCTTTCATCCAGACTTAACCCCAGCTGCTTTTCTGGGCTCCAGAGATTTCCATCCTCCCAATTCTGCTTCTTCAGGAGACGGCTAATCTCCAGATTTCACTTTAGCCAACAGACAAACTCCTAGCCTATCGAAATCTTCTCCCAAAGTTGTTAGCATAGATTCAAATAAGATGATTCTGAATTGTCCGCTTCTAAAATCATTCCTGTAAGTAATATAGAAATGAAGGGGAAAATAAACATCTAGGAGTAGGGAAATGTCTGAATAACAGAGCAGTCAAGGAGCTACTGGGAACCCATCATTTCTGCATCACACTGATATCCACTTTAATATAGGACTTGTTCTTTTTGTAATTTTTTTTAATTGAAGTACCATCAGTTACAATGTGTCAATTTCTGGTGTACAGCACAATGTCCCAATCGTGCATATACATAACATATATTTGTTTTCATATTCTTTTTTTTATTAAAGGTTATTACAAGATATTGAACATAGTTTCCATTGCTATACAGCAGGAAGTGTTTTTTTAATCTATTTTTATATATAGTGGCTAACATTTGTAAATCTCAAACTGGGACTTCTGAATGGTGATACACAATCTTCTCAAAGCACAACATCTGTTCTCTCATCTACCTATTACTCCCATCCCAGCCTAGCTCCTCCCATTCTCCAACTCTTATCCATTCGGCTGCCCTGCCTTCCTTTTGTAAAAAGTCAAAGACCAAACAAAGTCAAAGGCCTTCTAGCATGAAGTAAGAAGGGGATGTACTAAAACACATCATAGCTTATGATAAATGGTGATAAGAAGACTCAAGTATTACCCAACTATGCACGTACTGGGAAAAATTTAACCATATTGTGCAAAAGGCATAGGCAAAAGAATACGTACTCCGATTTACTTACATAATGTGATACACAGACATACAAAGCCAGTCCACTGGGTTAGAAGTCAGGAAGGCTGTCACTTTGGAGCAGTAAGGAGGGAACGCAGGTTAGGCTTTAGGGGAACGTCTACTTTTCTGGCAAGGTTTTATTTTTTGCCTGAGGCACTATTAGCCGGTAGAAGTATCCCATGCGAGAAAAGACAAAAGCTGCAAGAGTCGTAAGGAGTAGGTAGGAGAATGTTAAGTGAGCCGCGCCAGATACCTCACGAAGCAAACAACGCCAAGAGCGCTTCCGTATTATGCATGGACTCCGGCGTCTACAACTTCCGGCCTGCGTCAGGGGGCCCCGCCCCTCGATGACAACGACTGGTTAAGCAGAACCGGTCCACGCTCGGGAGAGGCGGGGTGTGATGAGCGGTGTCTCTAAAGCCCAACGAATCGTTTATCCTATGAGAACGGAGGTGTCTGTGAGCCAATAGGGTGCCGGAATAGAGGCCCCGCCCACAAGCCTGCCGAGCCAATCGGCTGGGAGTAGCGAGTGGGCAGGCAGCCACTGTGCGACCCAGAGGAGCTGCGCAGCATGGCGGGCGGGGCCCGGGAGGTGCTCACTTTGCAGTTGGGACATTTTGCAGGTTTCGTGGGAGCACACTGGTGGAACCAGCAGGTGAGGTCTCTGGGCGGCTGCCCCAGCTAAGCCTTTCGAGATCTCCAGCCTTTCCTTCCGTCCTGTCCGTCGCGCCATCCCTAAGTCCAGTCCTTCCTCTGTTGCCTCCCCAGGATGCTGCGCTATGTAGACCGACTGATGCCAAGGAGCCGCTGGGAGAGCTGTGCCCAGACGTCCTGTACCGGACGGGCCGGACGTTACACGGCCAAGAGACCTACACGCCTAGACTCATCCTTATGGATCTGAAGGGTGAGGCAGTGGCCGGGGTCAGTCAGTTCCCGGCGTTCCCCTTCGCGCGCAGTCTCTAGCATCCGTTCGCTTCAGGGTCCTCCACCCCGACTTATACTAGGCTGAAGGACCAGAGATGAAGAGCCGTAGGGAGAAATAACTACAGTATGCCAACACCCGAGAGATGCGAGAAGGCAAAGGCTTTATTCCGTTCAAGAGCCGTCTCTGGAATGGGCTGCTTGTCCCTGGACACTATGGGACTCCTGTAGGACCGCTGGGTGTGGTCTTTGCCCAGGTCCCACAACTAACAGCTAAGCTGAGAAATGAAGGATGGAATCTAGATTCTCCTAGGCAAGGTTTTTTCCAACTCATGTATATTCAAGAAAGCTTGGAAGAACCAAGTACTGCAGTGATGGTGAAAGCAGGTTGTCTGGTGATCAGAGGAAGATTAGCTGAAGGATGGGAGGGACTGGACTTCACCTAACATTGCCTCTTATTTTTGTGCAGGTAGTCTGAGCTCCCTGAAACAAGAAGGTGGACTCTACAGAGACAAACAGCTAGATGCTGCCATAGCATGGTATTTGTGTATTTGGAGAGGAGTGGGGAATGAGCACAGGAAGCTGGCGAACTCAGGGAAACTGGCACTATGATCAATCTCCAATTTCTTTCAGGCAAGGGAAGCTCACCACACACAAAGAGGACCCCTATCCCAAGAACCCTTATCTCCAGGACCTTCTGAGTGCAGAGGTGAGGGCCTCTGCCCTGAACTTTTTACCCACCCAGTGCTACAACCGGAGTGCCTCCACTGGGGCAGAGGGGGAAAAAAAGAGAATTTTAGTTATCTTAAATGCCTTAGAATGGTATTTTGGGAAAAAGCACTTTTTTCTCCTAGAGGACTGTGACTACATGAACCGAAAGGAGGCTGTAGGGTGTGGCTAGCAAAATCGGGGAGGGTAAGTCAACTTTTGTCTCTAGACTTTGGTGGAACTAACTGCAGATTTTCTCATCCCTCCCAGGGAGTGCTGAGTAGTGATGGTATCTGGAGGGTCAAATCCATCCCTAACGGCAGAGGTGAGACTTCTCTAGATACCGCAGAATGGGGAACCGGGCAGAGCAGGAACATGGAGTAAGGTACATTTCCTCTGCTTTTTTTTTTTTTTCCAGGTCCCCCCCCCATTCACCACTGCTGCAACTCTAAAACCACTGATCCCCGCAGAGGGCAGCATCAGGGTCTGGTCAGACTTCCTCAGAGTCCATCTCCATCCCCGGAGCATCTGTATGATTCAGAAGTACAACCATGATGGGTATGGGGGACCCCAGAGACTGAGAGGCAAGAAACCGGGTCTCCACCAATGTTGGATGAGACTCTTTTGAGGCCATCTTCCGGGCCTTCCCCCAAAACTAGATGTGTTGAGCAGGTGGAGGGGATAGACGAGGGGGAGCCCTGTAAGTCCTGGATCGGGTTTACGCATGGCAGGGAAGCAGGTCGCCTGGAAGCTTTCGGCCAAGGGGAGAGTATCCTGAAGGAACCTAAGTACCTGGAAGAGCTGGAGGACAGGCTGCACTTCTACGTGGAGGAGTGCGACTACCTGCAGGTAGCTGCGTGGCACGGTGGACACTGGGACAAAACTCTTCTCGTTCTGCTGTCTTTCATCATCACTCACCTCTCTCCAGGGCTTCCAGATACTGTGTGACCTGCATGATGGCTTCTCTGGGGTAGGCGCAAAGGCCGCAGAGTTGCTACAAGACGAGTATTCAGGGAGGGGAATAATAACCTGGGGCCTGCTCCCTGGTCCGTACCGTCTTGGGGTGAGTAGTGCTTGGGGGGAAAAACAGTCACAGGGTAAGGAGAGGAAAAGGATGGAATCATAGTCCGGTGAGAAGGTTGCTGAAAACAAACTATTCTCATTTCTTTCACCAGGAGCCCCAGAAGAACATCTACCGCCTGTTAAACACAGCTTTCGGTCTGGTGCACCTGTCTGCCCACAGCTCTCTAGTCTGCCCCTTATCCTTGGGTGGGAGCCTGGGCCTGCGACAGGAGCCACCCGTCAACTTCCCTCACCTTTGTTATGACGTAAGGCTCCACATTTTGTTCTGACGGCAGTTAGTGACGGGGCACCCCCCACACCCCCTCATGTACAGTCGCCAAATCAGCCTTTTTCTGCTAGTGGATCTTTTTTTTCCCCCAATTTTATTTATTTTTTGAGGGAGAGGCATTAGTTTGTTTATTTTTAATGGAGGTAACTGGGGATTGAACCCAGGACCTCATGCATGTTTCGCATGCCCTCTACCATTGAGCTACACCTCTCCCTGGATCTATTCTTGAAGACTCAGCTTGAACATGGCTCTGATGTGGCCTCCTATATCACACTGTCCTGTGCTTGTCCAGCCTTGGGCCAAACACACCCCTGCTTTGTCCCAAAGCACCTGGACCTCTCTGCCATTACTGTTCTGCCTCCACATGCTCTTTTCTCAACCCAGAAGGCCAACTGCTCTTCTTGGCACCTCTTTACAGGCCGCTCTGCCTTTCCACTGTAGTGCCATCCTGGCTACAGCCCTGGACACAGTCACTGTCCCTTATCGCCTACGTTCCTCACCAGTTTCCATGGTTCATATGGCCAATATGCTGAACTTCTCTGGGAAAAAGGTATGAAGCTTTGTAAGGGGTTGGGTCAGAGATGGGGATTTGGGTCAGAGGTGAGGAAAAGCTCCATAACTTGATTTCTTCCTTACCTTTAGGTGGTAACGGCAGGGGCGACCATCCCCTTCCCCTTAGTTCCAAGCCAAACCCTTCCTGATACCCTGATGCAGCTTGGAGGGGCCACCCCCTGGACTCCACTGTCTGCATGTGGGGACCCTTCAGGAACACGCTGCTTTGCCCAATCAGTGGTGCTGAGGGGTCTAGACAGAGCATGCCACACCAGGTGAGGACCAGGGGTCCGTAGGAGCCCTTGTCAGACTTTTTTGCTTCATATCTTTTTCTAATACATCTCTGGACAGGCTCATGGCACCTCCCGGCTCTTCTTCCCTCTGCCCCACTTAAAAGAAAAAAAAGACGCTGAGCATCTTGATCCAGCTGATGGCCTGAGAACATAATTCTTAGTTTCTTATTCACACTGCCAGAGATTAAAGGTGGTTTTGGCTTTGTTCTGGCAGTCAGCTCACCCCAGGCACACCTCTGCCTTCCCCGCTCCATGCGTGTGTCACCGGGGAAGAAGTCCTGGCCCAGTATTTGCAACAGCAGCAGCCTAGAGTCAGGAGGTCAGTACAATGCTCGCTCCCACCCTCCTCCCGGACCCCGACCTCCCCTGACTTGTGGTCACTCAGCTGTTGCTCTCTTGCCCCCACAGCTCTTCTCATCTGTTGCTGACTCCCTGCAAGGTGGTTCCTCCTTACCCTCAGCTCTTCTCCTCAAGCCTCAGCCAGCAGGGTTTGGTTCTGGATGGTCCCTCAACTGGGGCAGGTATGTACGAGGTGAAGAAAACCAAGATTTCAAGCATGAGAGAGGTTTACTCTATCCCTTCCTGGATACAGGCACTTTCAAGATTCCCAGTTAAACACTCCTTTATTCACTGTATAGCTACTGAGAGAAGTGTTCTTCCTCTGGAGTACTGCATACAGAGGGGAGAGGACACAAAATTTACTGAGTTTCCTACACAATCAAGTCTACCAGAGGCCCAGACTTCCCTGTGTGTAAGACAGAGTTCCAGGGTAGAGTAACAGTCCGGTCACAGGGCTCCTGTTTCTCTCCCTCCGCAGCAGTGGAGAGCATCCCTGTGCTTGGCGCCCTCTGCTCCTCTTCATCCTTGAACCAGACCCTGGGAGATTTGGCCAAAGAGCTTGCCAGACTCGACCTGCGGCGCTGGGCCAGCTTCATGGATGCCGGGGTGGAACGGGATGACCTAGAGGAGACGCTGCAGGAGCTGCGCAGCCTGGCCCAGTGCTATCAGGCTGGCGACAGCCTCATGGACTAAAGCTCCAAGAAGAGGAAAGAGCTAGTTCACAATAAAAACCGCTGGATGCAGGAGCTCAGTGTCTTGGGACTGGCTACACCAACATACACATTTATTACATTTAGAAACACTGTGATCAGATCACAGAACAATAAATATGTACCATCAGACAAAAAGACAAAAACAGAAACAGTAGAAAAGAAGCCGAGCCCCACAATGCTCTTCGTAAAGTAGATTCCTAAGGTCTTCACAAAAGATGTCCCCAGCTTGCCTTGTCCTCGTCCCCGGCCCCTGCTCCTCCAGCTCCGTGTACTGAGCTCAAGAGTTGTACAAGCGAAGTACAACCGCCCTCTCCCCCATCAGGGCGCCTGCTGGTTTTGCCTCCGTGCAGATGACATCCTCACACTCTGGAGTCTCACTCATCCAGCTCTTCCTCAGACAGAAGGTCCCCGTGGTCAGACAGCTGGTCTGTGTTGCTGGTACTGGTCGCGTCGTCCTCATCCTCGGAGCTGGCCTCGCAGGCTGTGTGGAAGAGCTGCATGAGTTCTCGGAAACGGTGGGAAACCTAGGAGGAGAGGGGAAGAGTTGCATCACCTTTCTTAAGTTAGTCTCATTTTAACATTTATTAAGCACTACACACCAATTTAAATAGTCTTGTTTGTTCCACACAGTAAGGCTGTGAGGGCTGTGTCCTCCTTTACAGATTAGGAAACAAGTCAAGAGGCTAAACAAACATTTTGCCCAAAGTCACATTCTTTCTAAAAACAAAACTAGAATGGAATCTCGGGCTTCTACCCCAAAATGCCAGCCCTGCCTCTCCTCCTAGAGCCACTATAAGTCAGGGCCTCCTTGGGAGAGGCCTTTACCACCACCAGTCACCTCTCAGTTAGCCATCCTGTCCTCTTCTTGCCAGGCCCTCTCCTTGGTTCCTCTGGGGCTTGATGCTCTAACAGGCCTCCCTGCCACTTACCTCAGCAGGGGTCTTATTTCCCAGCTGCTGGGAGATGATGCTAAAAGTCTGTGGCTGTGCTCCTTGCTCCTGGCACATGGTCAGAATCACCCGGTCAGCTTCCCTGTAATCCACATATGGTGATTAATCTACATTAGTAACATGGGTGTCTTACAGACATTTGCCAAACACACATCATCCATCCCACCTACCTGGTCCATAAGACCACCTTCTCCCCCGTGGAGCTGACCTTGCTGTTGTTGGCACACACTGTAGCTTCTGTGGCCTTTGGCTGCTGCTCCCCCACTGGACCCTTGCCCTGTATCCCACTGGGTTTAGCCAAACCTCCTCTAGAGGCTTTGGGAGAAGTCTCTGAGGTTTCAATTCCTGATGAAGAAGGTTCATGGACAGGGGACACCCTGTCTGCTGTCTTCACCCCAGCTCTGCTTGAAGGCAGCCAGCTCTCCTGAGTATCTGGTTTCCCAGACACCTGTCTTCTCCCTAAGTCTTTGGTCCTTGAGGAAACAGGACTTGGGAAGGAAGCAGGGGGCTCAACAGTTTCAGGCACCTTCTCAGCTTCGGAAGCATCCCAGCCCAGCATGGGAACCTCTGATTCACCCCCTGCCTGATGGCCCTCAACCTCATTCTGAAGTCTGGGAGATGCCCTGGGGCAGGGGAGAACCTCAGGCCCAGCCTGGTTATTCCTAACAGTGCCCAGCACAGTTCCGGCATTGGAGGGAAGCTGAGGAGTTTCTGGGGAGCAGGGTGGTGGGCCATCCACGGGAAGCCGGTCTGTGAGAGTCACTTCTTGAGGGGACAGCAAAGTGCTCCCCGCTGCCAAGCCTGTTCAGGAGGAAAATAAGGATCTAAGGGGATGGACAGGGTAATGATGGACCTAAGGACTACGAACTACCACAGGGTCACTCTGGCAGCTACTGCGATGAAGTTCTAATCTAAAAGCGTGTGGTGAGGGTCAGGGCTGAAATTACTTATACAAAGACAGAAAGCCCGACTGCCAATGCTGAGAATGGCTGGGTCTTTAGAATGCAGATCACAGAGGATCTGGAGACAAGGGAAAGGGGCTCAGGAATGGGCACACGAGAAGAAAATGCTGAATCATGTTGATTCTGCAGCACTCTTAATTCTGCAAGAGGGCTGAGGCCACAGGAGAGAAAATTAAGGGTGGACAGGAGAAGGGTTTCCTATTGGTTTACTAGTAAAAGAGGTGGTAGTCCATCACGGAAAAGACCATCATTTATCCAGGTTCATAGACGTTCTTGCTTGAAGCCCAGGAGAACGAGACAGGAAAAAAAGGGAGAAAGGCTGGGTTGGCAGTCGGATCACTCACCTGGAATAGGTGTCTCTCCCTTTCTGGTGCTCCTGCCAGTCCTGCTCTGGGTGGCCTCAGTGCTTTCTCGCTCCTCTGGGGCTTCTTCCTCCATCACGTCCTTGCCCTGCCCGGCTTCCTTAGCACCGGGCATAGGACTGGCCTCTCGGTGGGGGCTGCCGCCCACCAACTCATGCGGCTCCTTGCTCTTGTAGGATTTGCTGTCGCAGACCTGCAGGGATGGCCTTCTGGGTCAAGGGTCTCCTGACCTCTTTTGTCTTAGGGGCCAACCAAAGGAAGAAGCCCTGCCATGATGCTTAGCAAGTCAACCACATGCACACCTGCTCCAATGATTTCAAATGGCCCAAAACAGAGTATTGAATTCTACCACTCCTTCTCCAACCGAGGATTTTTGCTGCCAACCATCCCTACTCTAAAGAACCAGCATTCCCTCTGGGCTCTATTTTCCTCACACAGGCTTGCTTCATTGAAAAAAAAATTTTTTTGAGGGAAATGCATGAACTGGTTGATTTTTCTCCAGTTCCAAAAGCTTTACTACAGGATCCTCTCTAAAAAGCAAAATCCATTATATATTTTTAAAAGATTCTATTTTCCATACACACACTAATGTACACATGTACTGCATATTATTTATCCATGTGTAATCTTTTTAGGAATTCTGTAAGATACACATCTGTGGGAGCAAAAAAATACCCCAAACAGAAGGCAACCTGGGGGTTGCCCCAGGCAGTTCTGATACCCTGGGTACCAGGCCCCTCCTCACCTTGCTGCTGCAGTGGCTACAATTTCTCCTTTTGCTCTTCTTCAGTTTGGAATCACCTCCTTCATGGCAGGCACAGGCACAGTCCTTGGCCCCATCTGGCCACTCAGCCTCCTAGGAGATACCTGGGCTTGGTTAGCTGCCAAGCATTTTTGGTACCAAGAGAGGAAGCTAAGTTGTGAGCCATCTGAACAAGCCCACCCCCTGGCCCCCTCCCTGCTTCCTTTCTCTTTTATTATACACCATCTCTTCACATTGCCTGGGGAAATCAACGCCCAAACTCAATTAAAGCCTATTATGAATCCCTGAAACAATCCTTAAACGACCCAAAGACTGATATATCCCAGTTGCCCAGATGTTTCAAGAAATACGAAGTGAAATACAATCTGAGGCAAAGTCACTGGAGAGCTCCATCACGAAATATGATCTACTCACTCGTCTGTCTTTGTTTCTGTCTCCCTGTGCCTTGAGCTCTCCCCTCTCTTCCAATCCCCTTGAGAGAGGGCTTTGTACATATGGAAGGCTCACTCAATGATACTCTCTGTTCAATAAACCCAAGACATAAGTACCATTACTATCCCCAATGACGATGAAGAAACTGAAACAAAGAGAGATTAAGTAAGTTGCCCAAGGTCATTCAGCTACTAAGCAGCAGTTTTTCCCCAAGAGTAACAAGACATGTAGTGAAAGGCCATGAATTAAAAAGACTACTTCCTGAAGAACAACAGAGAGCAGTGAGCGTGAGCAGACTCGGGCCAGACCACCTGGGCGCATAAACTTGCACTGCCACTTATTAAACGTGAGACCCTGGCAATGGCCCCTCTCTGCATTTCAGCTTCCTCTTCTGTAAAATGCAAACAAGAGCAATTTTTTTCACAGGGTCCTGTGAGAATTAAATGAGTGAATAATTCATGAAAAATAACTCCAAGAGATACATGACACTCCGTAACAAGCTAGGTATTAGCTGTTGTCATAATCAAAATGAGGAATCCTGGTTCCATTTTTCACACGAACAGAAAGAAGAAGACCCAAAGATAAGAGAAACAGCTCTGAGCCAGAGAGAAACAGATGCTTCTAATGAGGCAATCAGGGGTGGGGCCCCTTCAGCACCTGCACTGACCTTCCCAGGGGCTCTGCGTGTCCACAGCTGCCCGACCATTGGTTCCTGCTCCACGACTGCCTCGGATCCCACACTAAGTCAGAGACCCACTTAGACAGAAAACTCAAGTCTGATTCATGAAAAATGAATAATCCCCAACAACCTGGTATACCTTATCGTGATTTTGGACCCCAATTTCTTTTCTTCTTTTGTTCTTGGAGGCTGTGGGTATCTTGGGAGGTTCCTCTTCCTCTTCCACATCAGGCAGGGCCACTTCTTCAAAGCCATCAAACTGGGGAGGAGTGGGTGCCACTCAACACAGACCCTGGGCAGGTATCCCTCCTACACACGACCTTCCCCTTCACAACCCTACTGCAGCCTCACGGTCTATACCTCATACTCCTTCTCTTCAGTCCAATTGATCTCTTCAAAGTCACCCATCCGGCTAGCTGCTGGGCGCAGATGGTCAAAGAAGATGGAGAACTCATCCTGTAGGTGGTCATGGCCCTTGAGGAGCTGCCACATCTGTGTCTTGAGCTGGGGAGGGTTGTAGAGGGAGAGATGAAGTCCCCAGAGCCTCTCTGGGCCACCATTCCAAATCAATCCCACACACTTCCGAGTTCTACTTTCCCTGTCAACTGGGAGACACAGAGAAACCTCTCTTTGATAACTCAGAATTCTTAAACTTCCTCTCCATCCATGCTTCCCTGCACAAGAGGAGTACAATGCACCTCGTTTTAGTGAGCTTTGCTTTAATGCACTTCAGACACTGCGTTTTTTACAAACTGAAGGTTCGCGGCCAACCTGAGTCAAGTGAGTCTACCAGCACCATTATTCCAACAGCATTTGCTCACTTCGTGTCTCTGTGTCACATTTTGGTAATGCTCACAACATTTCATACTTGTTCATTATTTTTATATATATTATGGCTCTATGATCAGTGATCTTTGATGTTACTATTGTAATTGTTTTGGGACACCTCGAACCGCACCCATAGAGACAGCAATCTTAATCGATAAATGCTGTGTGTTCTGACCACTCCACTGACCAGCTATTCCCCCTCTGTCTCCCTCTCCCTCTCCGCAGGCCTTCCTACCCCCTGAGACACAACAATATGGAAATTAAGCCATTTAATAACCCTACAGTGGCCTCTAAGCATTCAAGTGAAAGGAGGAGTCACACATCTCTCACTTTAAATCAACAGCCAGAAATGATTACGCTCAGTGAGGAAGGCGTGTCTAAAGCTGAGGCAGGCCAAAAGCTCGGCCTCTTGTGCCAGTCAGCCAGCTTGTGGATGCAAAGGAAAAGTTCTTGAAGGAAATTAAAAGTGCTACTCCAGTGAACACACAAATGATGAAAAGCGAAACTGCCTTACTGCTGATATGCAGAAAGTTTTAGTGGTCTAAGATCAAACCGGAAGACCGAACCAGCCACAACATTCCCTTAAGCCAAAGCCTACCGCGGCCCTAACTCTCTTCAGTTCTATGAAGGCTGAGAGACAAGGGGAAAATGTAGAAAAAAATTTTGTAGTTCGGAGAGGTGGTTCATGAGGTTTACGGAAGGAAACCGTCTCCAAAAATGCAAGATGAAGAAGCAAGTGCTGATACAGAAGCTACAGTAGGTTATCCAGAAGGTCTAAGATGATAATGACGGTGGTTACACCCAACAAAAGATTTTTAGCATAGAAAAGACAGCCTTGTACTGGAAGAAGATGACATCTAGGACTTCCATAGCTAGAGAGAAGTCACTGCTTGGTTTCAAAACTTCAAAGGACAGATATCTATATCTCTATCTATATACACATACACACACATGCATACACATATGTATGTGCATGTATAACTGAATCACTTTGTTGTACACACGAAACGAACACTATAAATCAACTACACTTCAATGAAAAAAATTATTTTTATCCAAAACAATAAGAATCTGAAAAGAAAAAAATATATGTATGTATTTGTATAACCGAATCACTTGCTGTATACCTGAAACACACTGTAAAGCAGCTACGCTTCAATAAAAAAAAAAACTTTCAAGGACAGCCTCACTCTTTTGTAGCAGCCAGTGACTTTAAGTTGAAGCCAGTGCTCCTCTACCATTCTGAAAACCCTAGGGCCTTTCCATATTATGCTAAATCTACTTTGCTTCTGCTCTTTTAAAGGAACAACAAAGCCTGGATGACAGCACATCTGTTGACAACATGGTTTACTGAATATTTAAGCCCACTATTGAGACCTACTGCTCAGAGAAAAGATTCCTTTCAAAATACTACCGCTCATTAACAATGCACCTGGTCACCCAAGAGCTCTGATGGAGACATACAGCGAGATTAATGCTGTTTTCATGCCTGCTAACACAACATCCATTCTGCAGCCCATGGATCAAAAAGTAATTCTGACTTTCAAGTCTTATTATATAAGAAACACATTTCAAGTAAATCAAAACTACGATGGGGTATCACCTCACACCAGTCAGAATGGCCATCATTAAAACGTTTACAAATAACAAATGCTGGAGAGGGTGTGGGGAAAAATGAACCCTCCTACACTGTTGGTGGGAATGTAAATTTGTGCAGCCACTATGAAGAAGAGTATGGAGGTTCTTAAAAAAACTAGAAATAGAAAAGGGGGGAAGGGACAGATTAGGAGTTTGGGATAGATAAACAACAAGGGCCTACTTTATAGCACAGGAAACTAAATTCAATTTATTGTAATGAGCTGTAATACAAAAGAATCTGAAAAAATATATGTATGTATATATATGTATATGTATAAATGAATCGCTTTATATACCTGAAACGAACATTGTACACCTGAAACGAACATTGTAAATCAACTATACTTCAACAAAAAATAAGAATTAAAGACAAAAACCTCCCCAAAACCTGAGTTACCATATGATCCAGCAATTCCACTTCTCAGCATATATCCAGCAAAAATCTAAGTCAAAAAGAAACACGCACTCCAATGTTCATAGAAGCACTATTTACAATGGCCAAGACAAGGAAGCAACCTAAATGCCCATCAAAAGATGACTGGATAAAGATGTGGTACATACATACAATGGAACATTACTCAGCCTCTAAAAAGAATTAAATAATGCCATTTGCAGCAAGATGAATGGACCTAGAGATTATCATACAAAGTGAAGTAAGTCAGACAGAGAAAGACAAGTGTCACATGGTATTGCTTATATATGGACTCTAAGAAACAAATGATGACACAAATGAATTTATTTACAAACCAGAAATAGACTCACAGACATAAGAAACAAACTACAGGTTACCAAAGGGGAAAAGGGTTGGGAGGGAAGGATAAATTAAAAATTTGGTATTAATATATACACACTATTATATACAAAATAGATAAACAACAAAGATCTGTTGTATAGCACAGGGATCTATATTCAATATGTTGTAATAACCTATAATGGAAAAGAATCTGAAAAAAAAAATATGTATAACTGAATTACTTTGCTGTACAACTGAAACTAACACTGTAAATCAACTATACTTCAATAAAGTTTTTAAAAATTAAAAAGATACATTTAATAACACTATATTGTGATTCCTCTGATGGATCTGGGCAAAAGAAATTGAAAACATGGAAAAGATTCTACATGCCATTAAGAACATTTGTGGTTCATGAGAAGAGGTCAAAATATCACCATTAACAGGAGTTTGGAAGGAGGTGTTTGCATTCCTCATGGAGGACTTTGAAGGCCTCAAGACTTCAGTGGAGGAAGTAGTTGCACATGTGATAGAAAACGGCAAAAGAACTAGAATTAGAAGTGGAGCCAAAAGACGGGATTGAATTGTCGCAATCTCATGACAAAACTTCAACAAATAAGGAGTTACTTCCTACAGAAGAATAAAGAAAGTGGTTTCTTAAGATGGAATCTACTTCTGGTAAAGATATGTAAAGACTGTTGAAATGACAACAAAGGATTTAGAATATTACCTAAACTTAGTTGATAAAGCAGGATTTGAGAGGATAGATTCCAATTTTGAAAGAAGTTCTACTGTGAGTAAAATTTTATCAAACAGCATTGCATGCTACAGAGAAATCATTCATGAAAGGAAGAGTCAATCATTGCGGCAAACCTCACTGTTGCCTTATTTAAGAAACAGCCACAGTCACAGCCACAACCACCCCAACCTTTAGCAACCACCACCCTGATCGGCTGGCACCATCAATACTGAGGCAAGACACCTGAGCAACAAAAAAATTACAACTCACTGAAAGCTCAAATGATGGTTGGCATTTTTTTTAAACTGAAGTGTACTTGATTTACAGATGGCTAGCATTAATTAAGGTATGTAAACTATATTTTAAGTGTAATGCTGTTGCACATTTAACAGGCTACAGTATAGTGTAAATATACTTTTTACATGCACTGAAAAACAACAACAAAATTTGTGTGACTCGCTTTATTGCCATATTCACTGTATTGTGGTGGTCTGGAACCAAACATGCAGTATCTCTGAGGTCTGCCTGTATTATTAACAGGTTTGATTCCTAATGACACCATTCTCTATCCCTGCCATACTGATCTCCAGCCCAGGCACTAAGTCAAGCAGAGCCAGGAGGCAAGCCCCACCTGGGCACCATCTCCTTCTTCCTTGGACTTCCCTTCCAGGGCACGGAGGGCATTCCTGAGCCTATGAAGAGCAGTCAGGCTCTGGCTTCAGATGGCAACCACCACCCGTCCCAGTGCTTCATGCTTTAGGTAAGTCTAAAACTTCCTTGCCTTCTTCATCCCTTCCAGGAAGCCCATTGCTCAGAAGCAAGAGGATATGGGATAGGTTAGGGAGGGGAGAAGGGGAAGGCCGAAAGCCCAGACAATGGAAAGGCAGCAAAACAGGAAAGAATACCTCAGTGATCTCCTGGGGCAGGCAGTCTGCACAGCTCTGGAGGACCTTGATAATCTTCTGGTGGTGTGAGGGGTTCTCTGCAAAGCAAATTTCCAGCTGCCGGAGAAACTTGCGACTCTTCTCAAAAGCCTGCTGCTCCTCAAACTACCAGAGTGGAAAAAGGGCAAAGGAGTCACCTATACAGCTTGAGCAGGACTTGATGGTTCTAAGCATAAGAATCAAGAAAAATGTGCTAGGGGCATGGGAGCTAACAAAGCTCTGGTTTACAATTGTGAGATCTTTTTTAGGACCACAGCATCTGTCCCCCTTGGGTCACTGGCGTCTACCAACCCAAGACAACTAAAGTATAAACGAAAGATTCAAGGGTTATACATCTCAAGTTGTTTACTGTTTCATGGATTGTGAGATGAGACACATTTCACGGTTTACAAAGAATTTTCACATACCCTCATTTGATCCTCATAATAACGCAGGAAGAGAAGACTGGCACGATGTGCATATCTCTCATTATCATGTAACTGCTTTAAGACTATCAGAATAATCTCATCATATCCTTTATTCCTGTGTTTATCAACAAACCCAGAACTCCTGGGATATCCCTCACATTGAGACACTGATTCTTCAGCATTTCATTATTCATTTATTTTTAATTTATTGTTTTATTTTATTTTGATGGGGAGAGGTAATTAGGTTTATTTATTTATTCTTGGAGGAGGTACTGGGGACTGAACGCAGGACCTCATGGATGCTAAGCATGTGCTCTACCGCTTGAGCTAGACCCTCTCCCCTTATTCTCCAACATTTCAAACATCACCTTACCACAGTGGCCTGCCCAGACCACCATGCATAAAACTGCAACATTATCATTATAAAGCACTATATACTACATATTTTCCTGTATACATATAGTTTATAATTTTTATAATATATATAATTATAATATATATATCTTGCTGTTTACTTAACCTGACTTTCCCCAAGAGAATGTAAGCTCCATGAGGGTAAGGATTTTTGTCTTTTATAATTACTATATTTCTAGTACCTAGAACTTTGTCTGACACATAGCAGGCACTCAATAAATATTTGCTGAATGAACACCCATTTCACAACAGTGAGAAGCAAAGGGCATATGATTTCCCTAAGGTCTCCACTGGCAACAAAGGTAAAACCCCTCATGCTACGCATAAAGCAAATGAGAGACAGGAGTTGGGAAGCTTATCCCTTGAAAAGAAGGCTCTTATGACCTTACTGTAGGGGAAGGCGGTCTGACTGAAAGCAGCGGGAGACTGGAGCAGTGCTGACCAGCGCTATTCAATCCCAGTCTTGCTCTGACCCAGGAATCCCAGTGTGCTGTCTTTGCCCATCTACTTACTAATCCACAGGCCAGAGCTTGCTCGGGCAACAGGAAAGCAGCAAAGTCCTTCAACAGCTGAGGCCAGTCTTGGAGCAGAATTTGCAGGCTCTTGTAGAGATCCACGGCTGTCTGCCTCTGAGTACTAGACTCAAATTCATAGATGACCTGAAGGAAGTCCTCGTACTTGCCAGGGCTATGCTGCAGGGCTTCTCGTACCTATACAGAAGGACTTTCAATCATCAACACCCTTCCTTTGGGCCCCAACAAGAAACAGTGGTACAGAGGGAGAATGAGGAGTTACTGTTAGAAAGCTCTCAAAGTATCCTTCAGAGGCTTCTCCTCTGACAGGTCCTAAGATCTGGCTGTTAGTGGGAGACACAGAGCCATGAGCAAGGCACAGCTCCTTTTCTGGAAGTGGGCAACTGAAAAGCCTTCATTTTCCAGGGACCACAGTCCCACCCACTAAACCAGGTAAGCTTTTCTCAAGCTCACAACCCTAAACTCTCCCTCCAGATTTCAGCTCTGTACTGAAACAGATAAGAAGTGCTTGGTATATATATTTCGGCACAGTATCATCTGAGGGTAAATAATATATAAATTACCAATGTTAGTAAAATATTAGGAGACAAAAACAAAAAAACGATGACTATCACTGCTAGTACACCACTTTCCTAGGGGGGAAATAAAAGAACCAGCTGGTTACCAAAAGGATGAGATAAGGATAACTACCAGGAACCGGTTGGTTCATGTCTCTGAAGATCACTGAGGTCCACTGTCTGGCCAGGGCACCAAAAGTCTTTCTTCTGAAGCCAAGGGATCAGTAAAGATCCTCATTAGCCTATCCAGTCAAGTCATAACCTCTCACTGATGATGGGAATCATCTTCCCCAATTTCTGGGCAATAGAGGGGTGATGCTAAGGTAGTAACAAATCTGCTTATGATTGAACCCTGCATCGTTGTGGCTCTCTCAGACAGTTCTTTTGGTAATTCCAGGAAAGCAAAGGCAGAGGCATAGAAGGTTGTTGTGCAGCCTGAAGAGCAGACTTCACTTTTAAAACACCTGTCTGGAAGGAGAAGCAGTCTTATTCAGAGGGACTGGCAGGGACAGGAAGCAGCATTTGCCTACCCTGGTCAGATAAGCCTGAGCAAAGGCCAAATCCTTCTGCTCCCTGAGTGGGTCCCGCTCGAGGATGTCCTCATCATACAGCAACAGCAGCTTGGAGGTGTCCTTGCTGGCCCTGGCCCGGCTCCCCCGCTTGTTGCGAGCCCGATGATTGCTCCGGCCCTTTCCAGCAGCTTTGACGCTCTCTCCTTAGAGTACATGCGAAAAAGACTGTTTCTCTGTCCCTGCAACCCCTACTCTTCCCACTCCACCAGTGCACACCCTCCCATCAAAATTCTTCTCAATGTTATAGGGCAATTCAGGAGAAAGGCTGTTGGAAAAATGGTATGAGAGGCACATCTGTCTTGGTGAGGAACAAGCAGTGTTTTCCAAAATAAACATAGCTCTTGGCCTCACATGTGACAGATGAATTAAGAACCAGTATAAAAACTTGTGTGAACCAAATACAAATACAAAGCAGCTGATGAGAGTCAAATTGAAAATTTCTGAGCACTGCTCCGCTACAATGGCACCAGGTTAAACACCTGTTCTGAAGAAGAGAGGCTGGCAGGAGGAGCCAGAGGATCTCCTCTGGAAACTGGCCACCTGGTTTACAAGCTAGCCACTCTGCACATGTCCCTGAGAAAATGGGGTCACTTGAGACCTGCCGAATACAGGCTTGCCCAACTCACCTGGTGGGGTCCTGCTGGTCTCCACCTCTGGAGCAGTCTTGGGGGAGGCAAAGGTGGTAGGAGGCTTCTCGGCAGGGTCTTCAATCGCTTCGTCTGTCATTTCATCCTCTTTCTGCAGGCTTTCCATTCCTTCTGCTTCTTCTTCCTCTTCTTCCTCAGGCTCAGAGTTCTCTTCCTGGGAGTTCTCTTCCTCAGACTCACCCTCCTGGCTCATGCGCCTTTCAGATGCGAGCCAAGTAAGTTTCTCCATTGTTTCCTGCAAACCACCCCCCAAAGAGTGATCATGAGGCCTGTAATGCCTCACCTAGCACTGACTGCAAAGAGCTTTTGAGGAGGAACTGAGGTTAATCATTTGGAGCAAAGGACAGGAGGGAGCAGATGTGTTTTGAACAGTCCATCTCTACCCTGAAGATAATCTTCCTTTGCCAGGGTCCATACTTATGATCTATTTTTTTGATCATTTAAATTGTGCTCAGGTAATTCAATTCAAAGTTCAGATGAGTTTAAGTCAAGTATAATAAGTAAAATTTCACCCTATGCCTCTCCTCTCACTTCAATCCCCAAATTCTGTCTCCTAATGCATTCAAAAGTCAAATTAAAATGATTTTAGGACTATGTCGAGTCTCTAGACCAACAAGAGAACAGGTGAACTATCAGTAAATTAAATCTATTACTGAGTCCACAAAATACGTGAGAAGATTCCACAGCTCTCACCTGGAGTTCTGGG